AATTTACCTGCTTTGCAGTATCTACTTTAAAAAAGCTTTCAAAATCTTGAGAAAGTTCATAAAGTTCATTCTGATAATCAGAAGTCTGAGAGATATCTCCCATGGTATTTAGTTGGGTAAAATCACAGTTGAAAAATCATTATTTGTTTTGAGATTTTTCGGTCACGGTAAATACGTGTTGATGATGCATTAATATTTAAAAATGACGAATCATTTTTAAATACAAATGCATCATCAACACGTAATCATATGATGCAATAACTCCCCAAGTTGCACCACCATGATTTTTTTGGTTATTTTAAGTTATTTCCAAGTCATTCAAAAAAAAAATAAATAAAAAAAACAACTCAAACATCAATCAATTGGAACACAGATTTTGACTCGAATAACAATTTAGGAAAGTGAAACAATTTTCTTGAACATTTTAGTCAACGATGGTGATTTTCAGGTTGGAAAAAACTCTAGTTGGAAAAAATAAAACGACCGTGAACAGCGATGTTGTGCATCGCGTATCAAATCTAATTTCTTGTGCTTATTTTAAAAAGAAAAAATATGAAACAATCAGAGCAATAAAGTTGTCGGTAACAAAAATTAGTTATTTAAAACTACAAAACGAACAGTTATTAATGCAAGTTCAATTTCTTGAGGAACAACTGGAATCGATCAAAAAACTTTTTCTTAAATACACTATAGAGGCATCAATAACAAGTAAGCAAGTATAAGGGTTGACAAATACGTAAAATGTTAGTAATTAAATTATTGAAGAAAAATAATCAATAGTTCCTGCAAAAACTTTTTGAGCAATTTTGAATTATTTTTTTATAAAGTTATTAAAACTATTACTTTTAAAGAATATTTTTGTTTTGATTTTTAATAAATGCAAAATCAATATATTATAAAGTAATAATCGTCAAAATTATTGTATTGTTTTAGAAATTATTGCAGCTGTATTGTTATTACTATTTTTAGTTCGTGATTTTTTAATACGGATGTCAAGAATCAGATTTTTTCATGTAAATAAGTCAATATGCGTTAATGATTTGGTTGCTAAAAGTAAATGGATTATTTAAAAGTAAATCAAATATTATATTCAGTTTGTAAGTTTTAGATTTGTTGTTTACGACGAATCCCAAAAGCAACCTTAAAGATAAACAAATACATTGATAATGAAATTATACAAAACATCTTTAATGTCTATTAATTTTGTATGAAATATTTATTCAAATTTTACTTTTTTTATTACAAATATCCTTTGTATATTATTATCATTTCATAAGCATTCACGCAAGTTTTCTAGATAGTATTTATCTAAGTTTACAAAAAATAAAAAAGTTTAAAAGGATGTTATAATTAATATTTATTTAATTTAATTTTATTAATTAATTATTAATAGACATTAAAGATGTTTTGATACTATAAATCATATTATTTAAAAGAACCTTTTGGCAGGGACAGAGTGAGGGTACCTGGGGTCAGAGGCACAAATAATTTAGGGGCTACTTTATCAATAGAAAAAGTGATGGGCGCGTTGCGTTTAACACTTCAATCATTTATTTAAAATTAAAGTGACGTTTTCTGGATTTTTGTCTGGCAAATTGTTCAATAATATCATCAAATGAGAGTTGCCTGGTCAACTCACTTTAATCCTTATCAAAAAAAGCATACCGAACCGTTCTTGATTAATTTTAATAGGCATTCATTTTTCATACGCTTTAATTGCGAGAAACTTCTTCCTCTCATACAATTTGCCAACATTAGGCTGAGGTGAATTCTAAAAGCTTCTGCAACATTTTGCAACATTTGGAACATGTTCAATATTTAAAATATTGCCACATTTTTCAATATGCAATATTTAAAAAAGTTTCTAACAAACCATCATTGAGCCAAATGGTTGACACCACGCTGTTCTTTTTTCCAATGATTAAACTTTGTGTAAAAGGAGAATGATTTTTCATATCCGATAATAAAAGCTTACACTTAGAACTATAAACTTGTCCATTTGATGGTGAGTAGCAAAGACGGGTACGTTCACAGTTCTCACCAGTTAATTTATAATTTCGAGTGAATAATGAAGGAATACAATACCGGTTTTGATTTATACTACTGTCCAAGAGTTTTGATTGCAAAAATCATTTGTTGAGAATCAATACCATGTTTAATGAAACTGTTTTCCAAAAACCAAGATCAGTTGCATAAACAATTGGCTGGCCTATCACTGCTTGTTTTTGTACAGGTTCAAGATTCAACTGGTTCTTAATTTTAAACTTCTCTGATTTTACATTCATCTTGACTTTCTGGTTCTAGACTTTACTTTTTTGCTTCTGAACTGTTACCCAATCAAAAAAAGCCTCAATTTTCCTTCAACAATTTCAACCCTTAACTGAGTCAACTCATAGCTGTTATGGAGTTTTGTAACTGTTGTTGTTTATTAAAAGGAACATATATTATTACGGAAATTGTTTTTGCTTTCTGGTTCTTTCTTTTCAATGGCACGTGATTTTAAATACTTCAAGTAAAAAAACGTGCTTTTTCAAAAAGTATGTTAATAAGTTTTGGGGGCCAGAGGAATCGGGGGCCAGAGACACGTCTTTCAAATGCCTCAGTTATAATCTGCCCCTGCCTATTGCTTGAAAAAATTATATTGCTCATAATAAACTTTTTTAAATTTAAAGTACAAATAAAAAATTAATTAATATATTATAATTTGTCCAAATATAAAAAAAAGAAGCTAAAGTAACAAAAAATTTTGTTAAAAAAAGATGAAATAATTGAATTTAGGAAGTAATAAATAAGAAATTCATAACAAGTTTAGATATAAAGCAATTTTCTTCGTAACTTGTTCAAAAAAATGGTTTGCTTAATTTAATATTTTAAATGCCCAAATTTAAAAACGTTAAAATGCAAAAATCACATTGTTAAAGACATTTGAATGAGCACTCAAGTTTGTGAAAGATTGAATTTAACAATGAAAAAATTTTAAGAAGAGTTTGTAATGTCAAAGGCTGTTCAAAAAAATAATTCAGAGTGACGCAAAAGTTTTATTGCATGTGCTGTTTATTTTGATTTAACTCATAATAGGCTACTTACTTAAACCACTTTCAATATTTAATTTGTTGAATTGAAAAAGAAAAGCGTAAAGAAAGGGTAGCAGGAAAAAATCCCTCGAAAAAAAATCATCCTGAAAATAGTTCCCCTTCTCAAAAATAATCATCACCTTATCAACCTCTAAAGCTTTCAGTTTGTTCCGTAAATTTATAAACAAACTGTCTATCAATAAATAAAAAAGGTCAAAGTTAACTTTCAAACTCAGTATTGAACTTTTTGACTTCAAAATAAGGAAATTCTACTTTTATAAGTTCATTAGGCTTCAGATTAGTTAAGTCTTATGTGGCCTAAAAATTAGTAGAAGAGTGCCTTTGTGTAGCATGACATAGAAACCAACTCTAATGTACAGTAAAATAAAAAGATCTTTAAGCTTACCTTTGTACCTTTAAGTTGAAAACATACCATGCTATATCAAACGTTTACCTTTGTACCTTTAAGTTAAAAACATACTGTACCATGCTATATCAAACGTTTACCTTTGTACCTTTAAGTTAAAAACATACTGTACCATGCTATATCAAACGATATTAAGTCTTAAAAGTGTTTTAATATATTTTATAAATTTATAAAAATTATAACATGATTAAAAATAACAACAAATCAGAATTATTTGTCTGCACTAAAATTGTTTTTTATTAAAGATCTTAAAAAATCTATTAGCAGTGATATTAGCTTTTAAAATGGCTTTATAACTTATCATAAAGACATAAGAAAACTTTATACTAATATTGTTGTTATCAACTATTTATTATGATTTTTAAATGATTAAAACTTATTTTTTTAAAAGAAGTTAGTTAAAACTAAAAGACACAGTTATAATATAAATTCTTTAATGTTGATATATCTGTCATCTTTTACAACATCTTTATAAATGAATGTATACAACTTATTCTCTGTTACTTATTGATGTTCTTAAAGAACAACACACAGCAACAGAGAAAATACAGACATTTTTATTATAATAATTTGGAGGTACGAAGCAACCAATTTTCGCTTGAAAAAAAAAACTCAACAAATTATCTTGTATTAACTCAACTTTTTGAAAAAATTGATTGTGTTATGTACCTCAAAATAATGTTTTTCTACTGTATTGAAGCCTTAGTTATTAGTAAAAATGTTGCGAAAAAAACATTAGGTATAAAAAAAATTTTACATGCCTTCTCATTTTTTTTTTAGGAGACAAAAATGCAGTTAGAAATAAATAAATATTTCAAGATCCCTGCTTCTTCCCCACCATATATTCCTGGATTTGTTAGTGGATTCAATATTCAAAGATCACTGCAAATGATTGCTTTGTTGTTATTGTTTTCGTTATTTTTTCCAATTCAAATTTTTTTACGAAGTCTCCAAGACTTTCAGCACGTATTAAGTAGGTATATCCAATAGAGCCCATAGTGTAGGCCCAGAATATGGGTTTGAATTATCTAAGCATAAATCTAAAACATTATTAATCAAAGATTTTTTTAATTAAATTAAACATATCTATGTTACATAACATTTTATTGATGTTGTCTTTTTAAAATTGAGTTTTAGGAGAAATTAAATTGTATACATAATTGCTGCTTTTAAACTCCTTCCCCCTCACACTATCTTTGTACGCATTCGTACGTTTTTTGGGGTAACCCCCTCCCCATATTTTCGTATGTACTTTATTGAAGATCCCTTACTTATTTTTTAATCTGTACGTGTTTTGGCGTATATATATATATATATATATATATATATATATATATATATATATATATATATATATATATATATATATATATATATATATATATATATATATATATATATATATATATATATATATATATATATATATATAATATATATATATATATATATAGATATATATATATATATATATATATATATATATATATATATATTTAAATATATATATATAAATATATATTATATATTTATATATATAGGGGAGAGTCGGGTAGCCCCGGACCTTTGGAGAAAATATAGATTGTACACATGTGTACAAAGTGTCAAAAGACTTTTTTTAAAAGTTCAAACATTCATTTATCGAATTAGAAACAAAAAAAGTAATTATGTTGTATTTTAATAATATACAAAACATAAAAAAAAAATGTTAGAAAAAAGACATGTTTCAAAATTGGAGGGTAGCCCTGGACACATAGTTTAGCCATGATTTTACCTCTTTTTTACCAGTGTGACACAAATGTAATATATAATAGTTTAGCATTAGACTGTTATTGACACATTTTTAAAAAAATCGCCTTTAAAAATCGCTTCTGATATATAAGGAATGTGAATGAAAATGTCATCATTCAAAAATATAAACATAAGCTTTATAATGAAAATAAACACTTTAAAAACACTTTTTTCAGATCTAATGTTTTTTTATTGGAATTAAATGAATTACTATTATAGGTTTGTGTATTATATTAAATGTATTAATATTTATATAAAAAATGTTGTTTATTATTAATATGTAAACAAATAAAGTTGTCCGGAGCCACCCTCCACAAATGTGTCCGATACCACCCGATCATACCTCATTCACAAATACTAGTTTTAAACCCAGTGAATTAAAGTTTTTAACGAATTGTTTTTTATAACAATTGTAATTAAATTGCTCTTCTGGTTGTGGGAAACAAAATCTTGTCCTCCCAGTCATTCGCTTGTCCTCCAGTCATTCGCATTTTATGATAGATATTTTGCACATGTCATATTTTCGCTCAAATAATGTTATTATAGTATTAAAAGTCACATAGCTTCTCTAGTTTAAGCTGTACATCAAGTGTCCAGAGTGACCCGCCGCCCGGGGCTACCCGACTTCTCCCTATATATATATATATATATATATATATATATATATATATATATATATATATATATATATATATATATATATATATATATATATATATATATATATATATATATATATATATATATATATATATATATATATATATATATATATATATATATATATATATATATATAGTTAGTTAGTTGTAGTTGTATTGAACTTGTATTAAAATTTTTTTTTTTCATTGACAAATATTTATGATCAAACGATTAAAGACATTTAATAATACTTTTAATCTCTATTGATTAGAAATTATTGAATCAAAACGAAATTTGTATCAAAACACTGACTCATGTAAGCTACAAATTTTAAGTATTTTTTTACTTTAGACTTAGCGTTTCTAATTTATAAAAAAAATTATTGGAAGTTGTTTTGCTTCATCTTGATACTTTAAGTGAGAAAAGAAAAATGCCAGGAAGTGACCATGGCTACCACAATAAGGTAAAACAAATATCTTTGTTTTTAAATATTATTTTACAAAAGGATTTTAGGTAATACAACTTTTTTACAATCATGCCAACTTGTGGCTCAGTTTTTAAGGTTTATGAGCTGTCAAAAGTTATAAAAAGTCAAAAATAATATTATGTTTAATTATAACACATAATTTATCACTGAACTCAGAAACCATTTCTTAAAGCAAGATTTAGTTCTTGAGACACAAATCAATTCTTTCGACTGGGTAAATTTGATCTGCCTAGCAACACGCATAGGAACAGGTTTTTAATAAGAATTGCGAGCTATTTATTGTCTTTTGTTATCTAAAAAACTTTTTACACAATGGATAAATCATGTAGAGTCAAACAAAGTCCTCAAAGTAAAATATCTAAAAAGTTCCATGGAAATAGATACACAAAAATTTTCCAATCGATTTAACTTTATCAGTTGCTCCTGATATTAGTTACGAAAATGACCATATTGTTTTAACACATCCTTAAAATTATCTATATTCTCAAAGAAAAATTGAAAAAATTGAGACAACTCAGCATTATAAAAATAAAATTAAAATAATAAATAAAATTAGTTATTGAACTGTTGACATTGAAATTTTGTCTGGTGTAATTAATCAACTATGTTGAAAAAAATGTTTACAATTTAAAAAAATTTATAGCTCTAACTGCAATGAAAAAATTGAATTTTATACTTTAAAAACATGTTTGGGAAGTAATTGTTTTAATCTGAATAACAGAATAGTTTATTCAATGCGTGCCTATGGTAAATATTTTTCAGGATTAGAAAAATTTACATCTTTAATGAACCTAAAACGATGAATAAAAATAATATGAATAAAAAAAATTACAACAAAATAATTAAGTCAGTCTCTGATCGTGCTAAAATTGTTGCAAATGAAACAATGATTGATGCTATGAAAGAAGTTTGTAAACCTTCTCCAAATATTGCTAACACTGCAATATTATTTGATGGTATCTGGCAACGTTGTGGGATTTTTTTACTAAATGGAGTTGTTACAGCAATATCAATGAACACAGGTATCATTCTTGATTGCAATCTGATGAGTTGATCATGCAAAACCTGTAGTAAATTTAAAACTCAAAGAAAATATTCTTTATTTATTTGAAGCTCGGAAATCATCACATGGATGTAAATTAAATTATCGTGGCTCTGCTCCTGGCATGGAAGTAATCGGCGAACAACGAATATTAAGTCGTTCTATTCCACAAAATAAACTAAGGTATGTTAAATATTATGGTAATGGCAATTGTAAAAGTTGTTCTTATGTTAAGGATACTTATCCTGGTATAACAGTGTGTAAGTTGGAGTGTGTCTGTCTCAGTCATTAGTCATCTAAAGCCTGTATATATCGATCTATCTCAAGAAAAACTCATAAAAAAATGTCTTCATGATAAGACGCAAAACCAGAATGAAAGTTTTAATGGAACGATATGAGAGCACATGTCTAAAACAAAGTATGTATTGTTAACGCAATTGGAGTGAGATGTATATGATGCTGTTTTAAATGTTAATATTGGAAGAAAAGCAAGTATATTTTTATTTAAAAAGTTGAACATGATTCCTGGTATAAATATGGTACTCTTCAAGGTTACTACGCTGTTAATCGTATACCAAAAAATCATATCCTATATGTTTTCGGTTACTGAGACATTTTTGGGTGTCTGCCATTTTACTTAGTAGTCATGGCAATTAATTTATTTTGCATTATTTAAAATCATGTTATTTCTCTTTTGATTTAAGCGAAGCTTTGGATAAAATTTGGGAACGAATATTTATAATAAAACTTGGATAAAATTCCGAACGAATCTTTATAAAACTGGTTGTTTATAGTAGGGTGTTTTCCCTGCTCGCTGTATTTATATATGGTATGTTATTTTCTAAAAAAAGCCCTCTTTATATAAAATCTCTCAAAAAAAAATAGGTCCTTTGAAAAAAAAGAAAAGAAGGTAAAGAAGAGGGTAGAGGTAGGGACCCCTCTGACTCTTACTACGTTGTCGGCTCTAACTTAATTTAAGAAAATTAAAATTATTTTTTAAAACACAAAAATTGTCTTGAGTTAACCTCTTCCATTTTTACCTCTTCCCACTCTCCCCCCACGCACACACACTTGACACCTACTCGCGCCGTATAAAAGCTATTTCTATATTTTGGACGTAACTGTAATTCCATAAAAAGAACAATTTATAACTTTTAAAAGTTCTGTTGAAAAACAATTTATAACTTTAAACACTTTTTTTGCTTTAATATATCAAAAATATCTGATGAAAATGCAGATTTATTTAGAAGTTTATGTGAAATTTACAGTTTGGATATAAACGTTCAAGAAACACTAGTAAAGTTTGATATTTTCAAATGAGCGTGTGCAGGGCCGTCCCAAAAAAATTTAAAGGAGGGGGAGAGGGGCCGTGTCTATTATTTGCCGACAAAAAACCCCCAAAAAATCACTGCCATTTACAATTAAAATTTTGCCGACTCTAGTGCCCAATTTGCCGACTAATAAAATTCGTAGGGGAGGGGGGGTCTAGACGTCCCATCCCTTCGGGATGGCCCTAATGAAGATATTGATGCGTGTACATCAATATCCCCATTTTTGATCACTGACATACAAATAAAAAAATTGTTTTCATTCTTAATTGAAAAACAGATGATACCAAATTTCCCTAAATTGTTTATAACTCTATTAGATCTACTTGAATTTTCGTGTTACATCCGCTGTAGCTGAGAAAAGTTTTAGCAAACTGAAGATTATCAGTCATTCACAACAGACTTTTATAATTAACTGGATAGTTTATTTATTTTACCATTCTATATTATTAAAAAAGTGAATTTCAAAATCATTTTGAACATTTAATATTTAGCAAGCATTAAAAAAATATATTTTTTTTTAATTTTGTAACGCTGAACTGGAGATACGCAATGACGTGGATAGACTATGTGGAGGTAAATAAAAATCGTATTTTAAATTTAAAAAACAAATTTTTTCAACGCCGCACAGTGCCAGAAAAAACGGCAAAAACCCTATTAATTTTTTAAATTTATTTTGATGTTTTTTAACTTTATCTTGATTGTTATAAGCATACTGAACAAGGTAAACCCATTTTTTATGATTTTGTAAATTTTTACTCTTTTTGTGAGCTTGTTATATGCAGGTTGTTTGTGGGCAAAAATTCACTAGAAATTTTAGAGTTTTCAAGTAGTTCTTAAAATTGTCACAAAATGGTCATTTTTAAAAATTTTTCTTTCATTTTTTCGGTGAACATCATATATATATTATATCATCCGGTAAGTAACTGACATTGGTCTTTTATCAACACCAAAAATTAATGTTCGAATTTCACAATTTGTGAAAAAATTAAAAATTTTCAGGAAATAATATTCACAATATTTACTTTTTCTAAAAATGTCCACACTTGTCCACCCTGAATTTTGATGGGGAAGTGTCTTGAATATATACAGGAATGCCCGGAAAAAAAAAACCCGCCCCAAAGTAGCACGTTTTTGAGAAATTGAATTTTAAAGTTTTTTGCAATTAATAAGAAATCCGCAAAAAGTTGTTTACAAATCCAAAAATTAGTTAGTAATATGTGCCTTTGTGATTACATCTCAAAATGAAAATAATAGACTTGATTCCCAAAGTAAGAGAAATTTGTATAACTAACAAGGATATTGTGAGCCTCCTTTATGAGGAAATTTTGATATCAGAAGGTTTGGATGGTGAAAAAGTGCATAGTGAAAAATTAACAGAAAAAATCCGAATTTTGGTGATAAAATTGAAAGCTAAGTGGATTGCAGTAAACAAAACATATGACAGGCTGTTAATGAAAGAAAAGAAATGGTTGCAAACCGAAATTCAAATTGTTATGAAAGCTGACAATGTAAGCAGAAAAAAGTTCAGTGGAGGGCGACCAAAGAAAGATTGGAAAGATCTAGGAGAGAGAAGTAAGCGAACAAGAGTTGTTAGATTATCTGCGCATGATCCAGAGGTTTTAGCTCTGGCTGCTGTTAAAAGTCCAAAATCATCAGGTGACTTACAAGACTTTGCTTATGTGGTTAAAGAGTCTATTCAGAAAGCATCTGAAATCAGAAAAAGTATGGACAGCAAGGAACCAATAATGATGTGTGAGAAAGAAGCACTTTCATTAAAAGTTAATTGTGATCTCAGTAAAAAGTAATTGTTATCCAGAGGACCTTGTTGTAACTGAAACTTCTGCTGAAAGTAAATTACAGGCCATGGTGAATCATACTCTTAAAATAGTTATTGTATTATGTGAAGACAATTTAAAAACTCTGGATCCAGATCAAAATGTGCTCAATGGTCGTTTTATTCTAAAAGCAGGGTTTGATGGTGCATCAAGCCAAAGTTTGTATAAACAAAGGTATGATAACACAGACATTGAGGAGGTTAAAAAAAATGAAGAATCCCTTTTCCAAACTGAAATTGTACCTCTTAAGTTAAGTATAGAAAGTAAAACAATTTGGGAGAATAAGAAACCAAATAGTTCTCATTTTTGCAGACCTCTTCGTCTTCAATACAAAAAAGAAACCACAGAACTTAGCAAGTCAGAAAAAAAACACATTCGTGATCAGATGGCTGATTTGGAAGATTATGTTGAGATTATTACACTTGCGGATGGAAGAAAAGTCAGTATCAATATAAAATCTCATGTTGAACTAACCATGTTTGATGGCAAAGTGGTTAATGCCTTAACCAACACAAAATCATCTGCAAGCTGCAATATTTGTGGTGCGAAACCATCAGAAATGAACAAGCTAGATCTAGTTAAAATTAAACCTGTGAATGATGATGCTATGTCCCTTGGTTTATCATCATTGCATTGTTGGATTAAATGTTTTGAATACATACTTCATTTAGGCTACAGACTGGAGATGACTATTCCAAGGACAGATGTCAGGTTAGCCAAAGATAAGGTACTTGTTCAAGCTAGAAAAAAAACTATTCAAGATAGGTTTAGAGCAGAACTTAGTTTACTGGTAGATGTTCCAAAAACTGGATTTGGGAATACAAATGATGGTAATACTGCCCGAAGAGCATTCATGCATGGTGAGGCTTTTGCTGACATAACAGGAGTTCAGGTTGAGTTGATTCTCCGGGTGAGGACAGTTCTTCAAGCTGTTTGTTCAGGGTATGACCTAGATATTGATAGACTTAGCCAATACTGCAATGAGACTCTAGCCTTTATAGTTAATAACTATGATTGGTACAGAATGCCTCCAACTCTTCACAAACTTCTAGTTCATGGACCTGCAATTGCTGAAAATCTAGAACTACCCATTGGTTATTATTCTGAGGAGGCTCAGGAGGCCCAAAATAAAGTGATAAGACATACTAGGTTAAACCATTCATGCAAAATTTCCAGACTAAATGTAATGAAAAATCAATTTCAATATTTGCTGATCAGAACTGATCCAGAAATTTCGTCGATCAACTTCATAAAACACAAATCTTCCAATGGAAACCCCTTGTCTGAACAAGTTCTTAACTTGCTGAAACACTATGTTTAATTTTTTTGTTTAAATCTAAATTATATTGTTACATGTTTTTGTTTAAATCTAAATTATATTGTCACATATATGTTATATGTTACAACATACAGAAATTGTAGATATTTGTTTCTGAATAATGTAATCTTTATTGTTTTCACTGTTTACTGACAAAATCGGCTGTTATTAAAGGATTATATGTAGAGTGTTTAAAAACATTGAAAATTTGTCACTTTTTATTTAAATAAACTATATATATATTTATGAATTTGTCTCTATAAGTACAATAAAAAACGACAGAAAAGCATGTTGAGAAAGTGGGAAAAAAATTCAGAATTTGCAAATTTGCAAAAATATTTTGAAAAAAGTGTGCAAAATTATTTTCTGACTTTCGGGTTGGGTTACTGATTAAATTTTAATATATTTAGAGCCAAAAAAAGGTTGAAATCCATTCATAAACACTGATTTGAGGGTTTTTGCCGTTTTTTCGTAGCTGTGAGGCACTGTGCGCCGTGAAAGTTTTAACGCGTTCATCGGTTGCTAAAGGTCACGTGTAAAAACAAATCTTGTTTTTATAATTAAATCAAACACCAATTTATCAAATTAAAAGTTTTTTAACTTAAACTAGTAATATTAACACGTTCAAATAATGAATTTTATTCTCAGAACAAACGTAAAAAATATATGGTTAAATGTTTCCTAGTAAAAGTGACGTTATACAATATTTTATTTGCTGCAATAGCAACAGTTCTTAACTGGCTGAGAGCTAATAAAATCTCACTTAATGCTAAAAAACCCTCAAATAGTAGTCTTTAAAAGCAAAAGCCAAAAAATAATAAGCAATTAAATTTTTATATTAATGGAAAGATATTAACTTCTTCAAAATCAGTAAGGTATCTTGGAATAATGCAGGATGAAAATCTTTCTTTTAAATACCACCACACTTATTTACAATCAAAATTGAGTCGATCTATTGGTATGTTGGCTAAAGTAAGTTACTTTGTCAACTTAGAAACTGTAACCAGTATTTATCACGCCATATTTCGATCTCACATACAATATGCTTGCCAGATCTGGGGCAAACTAAAAATCAATCCTTAAAAAGTATTTTTTCACTGCAAAATAAAGCCATTAAAATCATCCACTTTCAGAATGACCGTTTAAACAATGTCTCTTTGTTATATAAATTATCACAGGTTTTAAAACTTCGCGACAACATCAAGCTTATGAATTGTACCTTTGTATAGGATTAGTTGCATGGTAAACTCCCAATTACTTTCACTTCTTTTTTCTCCCAAACCAGTTCTAAACACTCCTATCTCCTTAGATCCTCATCATGCAAAAATATATTTGTTGAACACAGTTGAACAAAAATAAATGTTTATACTAGATTTAACTAATATTTCTATATTTATTTCTATATTAGTATTTATTATTATATTTATTGGTATTTGTATTAAATATTTAGTTAGTATTAGTTTTTGTTTTTTAAGTTAGTATTAGTTGTTTTTTTCTCTTTATTCTATTATCTTCAACTCTAATTCAATAATTTTTCTCCTTACTCGGTAATACTTCTTTTTATTCTACCATTATTCATATTATTAACTTTTATTGTTTTTTATTTTATTCAGCTACTATTATTTTTATGTATTGACAGTATTATTACGTACTTATTTTTATTAGTTTTAGTATCATTTATATATATATAATTAACTTTAGTTTTTGTTCCTTGGTTGATGTGTTTGTCTATTGTATTATTATTATAGTAGTAGTAGAAGAAGCAGTTTTTATTTTTAATTTTTTTATTTATTTACAAGGTCTTTTTGTTTTGTTTTGTTTTGTTTTATAAGGTCTCTGCTTTGAATTAGTCCTGTACTATTTGCATTGTTCCTTCACAATAATATTATTGTAAAATTTATATTATATTGTAAACAATATCTGTTTTTGTGAAAATATATTGATTGATTGATTGCAAATTAATAACTTTTAATAAAAATATTAAAATACACAGCAAAATTATATCTTGCCCTCTAGACATGAATCATGAACTACTATGTAATTGTAAATGTTTAAGTTCAAATGTATTGTTTCTACTATTAGAAAGCAGTAGCTTATGGCTGGTATTCCATATACTAGTAGCAGAAGTATAAGGTAATTATTAATTTAGATAGTTAAATTAAATTATTGACATTATCTTAAAAGACAAATGTCATTCATCATTTGATTTAAATGACTATGATATTAATGAAAATTAAAGAAAATAGAAAATTTTTATAATTAAGAATTTCAATTTGAACTTAAAAAAGAATAAAACTTAAGAAAGAAGCCTACTATATGCATTAAATAAAATTACTAAAACTGAAAGCAACAATCTATCAAAATTTGTTTACACATGATTCAAAGCTGCTTAACAAATATATTATCAAAAATGTAAAGAAAAAAAATATATAGATCTGTTATCAAAGTTTCTGTGGTCCGAAGTTGTTGGAACTCTTTTAGAAATTATTTCCAAAAAAAAATTTATCTTTTTTTGAAAACAAGCTTTGACTTTTTATAATTTTCCCAAATATGGCTATTTGTCTTGGTTTCTCAGCTCTTCTTTTAAAAGAACTAAAGTTTGACAAATTAGAAAAATGAAGCAATAATCATACAAAAAAAGAAAAAAAAAAGAAAATTAAACCTGCAAATCAAAAAGCCATCCAGTTTTAACCAATATGTTTATATTTAAAAAGTTACAGCATTTTAGGTTAAAAAAGTATATAAGAGACCATAAGTTAACAATACTTTTAAACTAAACTCTTAATATATATATTTTGATATGTATATTACATATAAATATCCTACTCAACGAAATAGGAAATGGAAAGAAAAAAAAACTATTAATAAAAAAATTTGCATTAATAAAAATAAATAAACATTAATAACTTTTTTCAGGGAAATCAACGATTTTGTCAACGATTGACAGTGTTCATTTTGTCAATTTTTTTGATGCTGGTTGGTGGTGTATCTCTTGTGTGCTCAATTTATTTACAACAGCAGGATTCTAATTTGGAAAAAGCTCAATTTCAATTATGGATTGGTTTGCCTGTAATTTATTTTTATAAATTTTGATTATTTGTGTTTATATTATCTCAGGGCTTTTTGCTAAATGTTCAAACCTCAAAAGAGAATTAAATATCTAGAAAAATTTGATTCTTATTGTATTTAAAAATATAAGCTGTTTTGACAAATAGGTTTATATTAAGTTTAAATTTAGACATTTTAATGTGTGTTGATTGTATTTTTTAAATAAAAGTGTAAATTTATGTATTTATATATTTATATCAAAAATATAAATATAAATAGCAAATACTGAATTAAAACATTATTAAAGACACACAAAATTAATATTACTTTTAGACCTTTATTTATCAAGAAAAGGTTTACATGAATTTTATAAGAGATTTATCCACTTAATGTTGTTTACATGGGATGGTTGCATATATTGCTTTGGAACCTTTAATGTGATCAACAAATTTTTAATATAGTTATTGATATGTTTTCCATAAACAACAACAGCAACAACAGCAACAAGATAATTATTTTCCTTTTCAAAATTTACATATAATCATATAATAATAACAATAATAATAATAGTATTATCTATTATAATACAAACAATATAATTACAATAAAATATAATTAATAAGAATAAATATAAATAATTATTTGAAAAGGAAGGTGTTACTCAAACAGAAGCCTGATCAAAAGAATGACACCAAATAATTATAACAATAATAGTTAAAAAATAATAATATTATCTATAATGATACAAACAATATAATTATAATTATATAACATACAAACAATATAATTATATAATATAACTAATAAGAATAAATATAAATAGTTATTTGAAAAGGAAGGTGTCACTCAAACAGAAGCCTGATCAAAGGAGTGACACCAAATAATTATAACAACAATAATTAAAAATAGTAATATTATCTATAGTAATACAAATAATATGATGACATGAGTGTCACTAATAATCAAAATGAGTGACACTAATTTATTATAACAAATAGTATAATAATAAAATAATAATAAAGATAACAAATATGAACCAAAAATCGCAAGTAAAATAAATAAAATAATAACAAAGATAAAGATAAAATGAGTTAAAAAATAAGGTAAAAAATATGAAAACACTCAATAACAACCACAAACAAATAAAAACAAACCTTACACAAACAAAAAGGCAAAACACAAAAACTACATATATAACAAAAAAACTACAAAACGAAATAAAAAAAAAGGTGTAGAAAATTTGGTAAAATAGAAAAACAGAAAATAACAATAAAAATAATTAGCACCAATAATAACAAACTTTACGCAAACGAAAAGAGAAACACAAAAACTACAAACAAAATGTATACACAAAATGATAATATTTAACAAAAATGATATTTAATAATAACAATTAATGGTAGTATTAATTAATAATTAATATAATAATAAAAAAAAAAACAAATATCACATATTTGCCACAAAAAAAAAGGTGTAGAAAAATTGGTTGCGATCTTTTACGTTTTAATTAGTTGTTTTATTTTATTATTTCGAACCTTTTTTTTGAACTTTTTTTTTTAAATTGGTACTTTGCTGTTATTAGATTTTTTTGTATTTTGTTTGATTAAATCTGTTTGTTCTTTTTTTTTTGACGTTATTGTTATTGTTATTATTGTTATTATTATTGAGTATTTAAGAGTAAATATTTATATCTAAATAAAAATTCTAGAATAATGAGATTTCATAGTACTTAGTGGCTAGTTGTTTATCCATCATTGCACCTGTAATAAAATACACTAATATTTTTTTAATGTTATGATGTAAAAAGTGAAAGTGAAAGTAAAAAGATCTACTGTACAATTTAAATCAAAATAACTAAATAAATCTCATACAAGAGAAAACATGAAAACACAATTTTTAAAATTAAATAAAGCGTTAAAATTTAAAATTAATAATTTAAATAATTTGTGTAGTGTTTTTTTTGTTTTGTTTAATATTTTTTTATTTTAGGCGAAAATATAAATGCTATCTGTTTGTAAAATGCATTTACATAGTTTTGATGTAACGATTATATATTGTTTTTATATGAATTCTTCAATGTAATTCATATGTATACTTTTTTGTATAACTTTTTTTATTATTTAATTATATAGAAAACATGAAAACACAATAAATTAAAATTCTGATAGAATAAAAATACAAATAAATTTATTTTAAGATATAAAACCAAACAGGTATTGTTAGCATAAACAAGCCCAAGATAATCAGAAAGCAATATACCTCAATAAAAATTACTTAGTACATAGTGGCTAGTTGTTCCTAATCAATTTGTTACAAACTTTTTTGTTTGATAAAACTTTTTATTTGGATCATTTTGATTAAAAATTATTTTTAAACACTAATGTCATTCCATATTAAATCACCCAGTACATTGAACCATCTTTCTTTCTTCTTTTGACATATGATTCTTTCATCTATCATATGACTTTTGACATAAGAGTCTTATTTTTTTTTAAATATTGCATGCAAAATTTTAGCCAAAAATGTTGAGCAGTTAACAAGATATGGTAATTTTAATATTGGCTTGGTTTTCTAAAATGACCTGGTTTTTATGAATTTTAAAAAAGTTTTTCTTTATAAAATAACAAATAGCTATGGCAAATATATAAAAATAAACATGCTTTTTTGATGCATTTATTCATTAAATTTACTTCAAATACCGAAATATAAAGGAACATGTTTAAACATGTTACTACTAATTTATATGACTTAAATTTTGAACCCAATATCTCAAAACACTCACATTCAATTTTTTTTTTTTTTACTTTTAATATTTTTAGTTATAATTTTACATTTCACCAAAAATTTAACTGGAAAAACAATACTAACATATAGAATTATAATTTCAAAAATATTCAACTTTTTCAAGAAATTAGTTAAAAATATTTGTAAATACAATAAATATAAATAACTGTAAATTAAAAAATTACTGAAAAAATATACAAGTTTATTTAAGGTATTGAAAGCATAAGTTATTTTGACTGTACTTGTATTAGTTCACAATATTTTTCCCATTTTGTATTTCTTCCATTTACGCTTTTTCAAACATAAACTTTCTACTGGAACTAAATTTATGGAGCAGATTTTTAATATGTTTATTGGGAATAAACCAGTAGAATTTGGTTTAAATTTGGTCGTTTCAAACTTTCTTGCTCTGTTAACCTTTTTACAGTAATTATTTAACTAGTACAGTAATTAATTAACTAGTACTAGAAAGTACTAGCACTGTCCATCCTCTTGCAAAATTACTTTTGTGGGACATGTAAAGTCTAGTAGCAGTAAAATTAGTTCAAATTGCACATAAGATAAGTTGTTTGTAATGTCAGCTAATATAAAGAAATATGTTCACTGTCTTTATAGTATATTATAATAAAAATGTAAAAAGGATTGTTGGGTGTTTAAGTGATAGCTTTGTATTTCATCTTGAAATACAAAAGCATAAATTATCTGCAATATTGCCAATAATTATTATGCTTGGTTGATTCATATTTTCTATTAGTTGATTAAGGTACTGTGATAATGAGCAATTAAAGAATGAGCTTGTAGCTTTTTAAAGTAAGATATTATTACTTAAAGAAATGATGGAACATCTGCTGTCAAACCCAATAATTCTCTTTTTAGAGAATGAAGATGACTTTTCATTGCTGTAAAAATCATCTTCATTCTCTAAAAATCTTATTCAATTTGGCGGTGAAGGGTTCTTTACAAGGGGAGTTATAATACTATGCAAGCATGAGTTCTTTATTTAATACTGAGCAAACAGTTTTTGAATGTAGATTCTTATACGTTTTATCAATATTTAACAAATAGAATGTATAACACTTGCACCTGGCAAAATGTACCGATTTGGTCTAAATGAAGCAAATGTTAAGTACCCTATTTGCATTTCAGAATTGTTTTCTTTTTGTATTATACATATAGTTTTCTTAAATTACACAAAAGAGTTTTTTATGTTTATTGATGTTCTTTTTAATGCCTACATTCTCTTTTTTTCCAGGTACAGTTCAACATAAATAATATGAGTCATAAAACAAGCCTTTCCTGAAAGTTTGTGTGGTTTTCTACCTTTTGACATACAAGGCGGAAAAGCATATTATAATTTAAAGTTTTATGTGTTGCAGAAAAAACTAAGTTTTAAAAACAAAATAAGCAAAACTGAAAAAATAGGAAATTAAAAAAAATTTAAAATTAATTTAAATAATTTGTGTAGTGTTTTTTTTTTTTGTTTAATATTTTTTTATTTTAGGCGAAAATATAAATGCTATCTGTTTGTAAAATGCATTTACATAGTTTTGATGTAACGATTATATATTGTTTTTATATGAATTCTTCAATGTAATTCATATGTATACTTTTTTGTATAACTTTTTTTATTATTTAATTATATTTATTCAATTATAAGTATACGTACAATTAACTTATTTGGATAAGGTGTTTACTCCATATGTCTAATATCCATGGTGCTAATCCAACCACCTCCAAATTTTTTTATTTTTTTACCCGTCCCCTCCCTTTTGGACTACTATGTTACTATGTTATGGGTAAAATATACGTAATTGCATAACAATTAATAAAAAAAATCATTTATAATTTTTCACCAATAACATTGAAGATCAAAAGGGATGGGGCGGGTAGAACTAAGTACACAGTGCAGAATGTGAAAAAGCAGCAGGTACCCAAAATTACAAAGCACTAAAATATTAGGGATAAAAAATGTACAGGAATAGAAAGGTAATATAAACCAATTATGGTTATGTATATCTGACTGGTTTAACTACTGTCCCATTAGTCTTTTTCCTATCATAAGCAAGGTTTTTCAATTTTTAATTAACAAACACTTAATGTCTCATCTTGAATCTAATAACTTTCGGATCATCAATATGGATTTCAATCTTCTCATTCTACAGGTGATTTGCTAACAGTATTAGCCGATAGGTTTTATCGTGTATTAAATAGATGTGGAGAG